CCGCTCCCGCCCCCGGCGCCGCTCGCTTCCCCCACCCGGACTCCCCCATGTATGACGACTCCTACGTGCCCGGGTTTGAGGACTCGGAGGCGGTGAGTGCCCACGGTGAGGGTGGGGGCGGGGAAGTTGGGGTGACACCTCCTCTCCCTTCAACCCTTCCCCCAGTTCAGGACTTTGAAAAACGCCTCAGTGGCAGGGCAGTGTGTGTAGGGGGGCGCTCTAAAAACGTGGGGAGATGGATTTTCATGCCAAGCGCTCCCCAGCGACCCAGACTCAGACCCTGGGGCATCGGGTGTGTGCAGAGAGGGGGCAGTATAGGGGAAGGGCTCAAGCAGGTGGCTCCACGGCCCAGGAAAGAGGGGTGGGAGGAGGCAGGGCTGGAGGCCGAGGGCACAGAGGCTCTGGAGAGGGAACACGCCATGTCTGGAGTTCCAAATTCTGGATTTCTGGGGTCTGAACACAACAGCTAGGAGAGCCGCCGAGGTAGTTGGGGAGGCAGACATTCCGGACCTCTTGTGCCTCAAGCAAACAACACATTAGGGAGCTGAGAGGACACCAGGGAGCCAGGGACCAGCCTCTTTAGACAGAGGGATCCTAAAACTTGAGGAGCTCCATTATTCCCTTCTACCCCCTCCATCTCTGCGCACTGCCTCATCTCCTCACCCTTTCTCTAGCCCAGTTTCTCTCTCAGGCTGAAACCTGGGCACCCAGCACATGGGTAGGCCAGGTGACTGAGCCCCATCCATTCCACAGCCCCCTGCTGAGGCTTCCTCTGAGCAGCGGGCATCCTGAGCTCTTGCCCAGCATGGAGGGCCTGGAGGTGAGGCCAGAGGAGCTGAGGGCCTGGGGATGGAGAGGATGCGCTTTGCTCAGAGAAACAGGCAACCAATAAATATTTAATTCTCCTCTTTGCTTTTATCTCCTGACCCACTGAGACAAATCAGCTCATTAAGCAGTGATTCCCGGAGCTCAGACAGCAGGGAGAGTGCCTGGAAAGATGGGGCAAGAATGCGGAGCAGCTTCTCAGACCCTTGGAGCTGCCAACTTTCCCTCAAATGTCCTGTAAGAAGGCCTTCTTAGGAGTGGACCAATAGATGGCTTGGAAGGGGTCCCAATAGGATGGAACACCCCTGGGTCGGAAAGAGGAGTATGTTCCAGTCTTCTCCCATCACTTGCTGCCAGGCCCAGGATAGATGAGTGCTGATGCTCAGAATAGGCAACTGTCCTTTTCTGGGACTGGGCTCCTTCTGGGCCCAATTTTCCATGGGGCCTCTGGGGTAATTACATTGCTGCTAGAGCAGATCATTTTCAAGGCTCTGGTGGACACCTCTTTCTGACAGTTGAAGGGACAGCTGGTATAGCCCAGGGTGCCAAGGTGAGCTTGAGAACAAACCTCTCTGTGGGGCTGGAGGGCCCTAGGAGGTTCTTCCCATCCCTGGTGAGAAGGCAAGGGCTATTGCAAGGAACAGACTGACATGTGGATGGTGTTGGAGGACAGCCTGCTGACCCATTGCTCCCTCCCATCGCTCTCTGGCTCCTGATCACCCTCCCCCACTTCCCTTTCTCTTGCCTGGCTCCTTGCTCTCCCTGAGGCCCCCTCTGAAGCAGTAGGAGGGAGATCAGGCTCTAAATAAATCCAACGGCTCATCTCCCTCCTCTCCTTCCCCCGTGCCAGGCAAGAGAGGAGCTGCAGCCTGCCCACACACTCACTAGGCAAGGGGGGCACCACCAGGGCACTGTGCCAACTCCTGGCAGCTCCAAAGTACTGACACTCTGGCTCTTTTGGCGTAGCAGGGTACAGGAAAGGTAAGACCCTAGATCATGCCTGGCAGGGCAGCCCTGGCCTCCCCAAGTAATACCGGAGCACGAGAGATAAGTTAGCCTGGAGGACTTGGAAGTAATGGAGAGGGGCTTCCATTCTGAGCACAACTCATTAATTATTTAGGGAGAGATCCTGTGATTCCTATCCCAGGGTGAGAGGTCAGGTAACCCCAGATGCCCCAGGCGTTATTACTACTAAATTAGGCCGCAAGGTGGCTCAGGCCTGTAATCCCAGCGCTTTGGGTGGCCAAGCCGGGCGGATCACTTGAGGTCAGGAGTTGGAAACCAGCCTGGCCAATATGGTGAAAGCCCGTGTCTACTAAAAATACAGAAATTAGCCTAGCATAGTGGCGCATGCCTGTAGTCCCAACTACTCAGGAGGCTGGGGCAGGAGAAATGCTTGAACCCTGGAGGCAGAGGTTGCAGTGAGCCAACATCACGCCATTACACTCCAGCCTGGGCATCACAGTAAAACTCCGTCTCAAAAAAAAAAAAAATTACTAAATTAAACCAGGCACAGAGACTCATGCCTATAATCTCAGTGCTTTGCGAGGCTAAGGTAGGAAGGTGGCTTAAGCCCAGGAGTTTGAGACCAGCCTAGGCAAAATAGCAAGATCCTGTCTCTACAAAAAACTAGTAGGCATGGTAGTGCATGCCTGTAGTCCTAGCTACTCAGGAGTCAGGAGGATCGCTTGAGCCCAGGAGTTCAAGGCTGCAGTGAGCCACGATTGTGCCACTGCACTCCAGCCTGGGCGACAGAGCAAGACCTGTCTCTAAGTAAATAAATAAAATAATAAAAATAAAGATTACTAAATTGGGCTGAGAGTCTGGAGCGCAGGCAGAAAAGGTCAGACTCCTCTTTTAGCATGGTGCTGGGCTTCTGGGAGGTACCCGATGTATCTGTACCAAAGTGAGTGGTCATCTGCCTTGCCTTCTGCCTCCCAGCCTATTGGCCCCTGTCTGGTCGCTTCAGATACTAACATCCCACAGAGGTTTCTCTTGTGTCTTAAGACCCCTAGGAAGGAGGTCCCTCACCCTGTGCCAAGATTATTTCTGGGGTTCAACCCCCACTTTTCCTGCTGCCATCCAGCCTCATTTTGTTCTCAGGAGAGATGAGGAACAGCGGGCAGACTCTAGTCTTCTGTAAAACGGAAGAACTTTCCCCTTGTGCTATCTTCAGGCCTTTGGTGTACTATAGACACTGTCTTTAGCCTAAGACTCAAGAGCCTGGGCTGACCCCCAGCTGAACAGCCCTCTTGCTCAAGGCAGGGTTGGGGTAGAGGGCACAGTGGACAGCAGGTGTGTGATTTTGCCTTCTCCTCTGAGAGTCTGGCCTCTGCTGCCTTCTGTAGGTGGTCGTGCCCAGTGAGCTTGAGAGAATATTCCTCCACCCAAGGACATTCTAAAGCCCCTTCCCCTATACACACACACACTCCTGCATGAACCCCTTATTTAGGCTTATCCCTTCTCTCTGCCACTGGCATCTCAGAATTGTGGGAAGTATCACTTGAGGCTTCTCCCCACAGAGAGGGAATACTGAGGCAGGAAACGAAAGACTCTTTCCCTAGGCAGAGGAGGAAACCCAGACATCCTAACCTCTGGGCTCTTGTCTCGAAGTCCAGCATCCCTTACTCATTTGTGCCTCTCCCTCATGGCCTTGAAGCTGAGCTCTGTGACCCTCAAATGCACCCTCATTGCCTATGACCTTTCCTATGGGCAGGACTCAGAGACTCTCCTTGCTCATGTTACGCACTCCCCACATCCCCAGGGTCCTGCTCCATAGCTGAGTTGCCTGGCACTAGCATAGCCTTCTTCTAGGGCCAGTGTCCCCTGGGCCTGGGAAAGGACTGGGGAGATGTAGGCCAAGTGGTAGGCATGGCCCAGCCTCACCTGCGTCCAGGGAGACAGCTTTGTGTTCTTCTCGGTCTGTGTCTTGTTTGCTGCCTATATCTGGCCAGTTGCCCCAGCAGGTGTGGGAGGAAGAAAAGTAGGGGGTGGGGAGAGCAAAGGGGAGGTAACTTCTAGGAGTTGGCAGCTTTGTGTCCTCCTCTTCACCCTGGAAGGGTAAGGGCTCACCATTTGAGAGCCTTCAGAGCCTTGTTGGAGTAGGGAAAGTAGGATCTTAGGGGGCAGATGGCTGGATCCCCACACTCAGGACTGGTGCTGTGCCAACCAGCGTCTCTTGACTGTTACTGCTGGCGGGACTCCTGCCAGGCATCTTAAAGGGATGATGTCCAGGCTGCTTTGCAGGCTGCTGTGAACAAGAGGGCTGGGTCTCCTGGATCCAGAATCATCTCTAATACATCATCTTCAGCACTCCTCCCTTCCCTCAGCTCAGAGGACATGTTAGAGGGGAGAAAAGGGAGGAAAGAGAGAAGTGAAGGCTCTATTCAAAGCTGTAGTATTAATAGGCTTGGGGGAGGAGGGGCCCAGATCTTTGCACCTATAGATGGGGCCAGATTTCCTGTAGCCTCAGAGGCACCGGGGCCCTTCTCAGGGGATAGGAGGGGCCATAGGGACCCAGCCACCCCCTTGGAGAGGGAGAAACAGGGCAATAGAGGCAATACTGTAAGGTGAGGAGGGTGCCTCCATAGCATCCTTCACGCCGGAGCCTGGGAGTCACAGCCTGTTTCCCAACCCAGGGTTCAGCTGACTCCTACACCAGCCGCCCATCTCTGGACTCAGACGTCTCCCTAGAGGAGGACCGGGAAAGTGCCCGACGTGAAGTAGAGAGCCAGGCTCAGCAGCAGCTCGAAAGGGCCAAGGTATACTTTCTGGGCATGGGGCAAGACAGGAGGCCAAACTAGGTGGAAACCTGCACTTGGTCCTAAGTCCCAAGGGTTCCTTGGGCAGGATGTCCTTGAGTGTGAGAGGGTGCATGTGAGGGGCAGAGGCCACGGCCTTCTGCTGTTGGGGCACTGAAGCTGGAAGGGTGCTCCGAGGCTTCTCTCACTTGCACTAATGGCCAAATTCTCCAGCACAAACCTGTGGCATTTGCGGTGAGGACCAATGTCAGCTACTGTGGCGTACTGGATGAGGAGTGCCCCGTCCAGGGCTCTGGAGTCAACTTTGAGGCCAAAGATTTTCTGCACATTAAAGAGGTGACCGACCCCCGTGCTCTAACACTTCTAAGCCTCTGACACTTCATTTTCTTGCTCTTGCCCCAGATCCCAATGCTTCTTACTTCAGTCCTCAGTCTAATTCCCCAAGCTAATCAGCTCTTCTCCTTAACACACACCTGTCCACCCCTCATATCTAAGACCTCATCCCCAGGGTCTCCATCCTTCTGAGACCTGGCTTGGGCCTCAGTCTCCATGTCCATCAAGTGAGCAGTTAGATTAGCTGCCTCCGAGGTCCCCTATGACAGCTGCAGTGCCTCACTCAGAAATCCTGGGTGGCCCGAACTTGGCTGCCCTTTCCCCTGGCCCCTTCTGCCCACCGCCCCTTGCATTGCATTCTTTAGACCAGCTCAGTGACTGCCTCGCTGGCTTCTTCACATTGAAGAACCAGGACTTGGGCAGGGCGCTCCTCTCACCACCCTTCCTGCTCCACCCACCCCCAGAAGTACAGCAATGACTGGTGGATCGGGCGGCTAGTGAAAGAGGGCGGGGACATCGCTTTCATCCCCAGCCCCCAGCGCCTGGAAAGCATCCGGCTCAAACAGGAGCAGAAGGCCAGGTGAGAGTTGGGCTGTGACTCAGTAAACACACCCCAAACACTTGAACTGTACCCACAGGACACGTCGTCATGCATGCCACACACATGCATATCCCCCTGAAATACACATGCACATATGCCCGGCTCTACACACTCACACTAAACAAATCTACAAACACACACATGAATGCACACATATTGCATGTACACCTGTCTCACTAGATAAAGCATATGGAAATGTGTACAATTATTAAATAATGCATAGAACATACGTACACAGAGACACATTCTTCTCTACCTCTCTCTCACCTCCCTTTCTTATCAGGAGATCCGGGAACCCTTCCAGCCTGAGTGACATTGGCAACCGACGCTCCCCTCCACCATCTCTAGGTAGTCTCCCCTCAACCCACCCATTTTGGGTAGGTGGGTAGCTAAGACACAGGGAAAGGGGGGGATTCTGCCCAAGTGAACTGTGTGGGAAGGGGTTTTGTGGAGGGATCAGAAGGGGTGGGGAGAAGCCAGTATCTCCCTGGGGATGGGGATACCGTGCCCCCAGGGACCTTTCCCCCTTCACCAACTTTAATCTTGTATTTCCTTTTCCGAAAAGCCAAGCAGAAGCAAAAGCAGGTGAGTCAAGGAAGGTACCTGGGCTGGGGGGGATCATGGCTTATGGCTCTGGGGACAGTGTTCTAGGCAGTCATTGTTGGAGGGCAGAACAGAGAAGGGAGGGAGCCCAGAACCTCTGGATCTGCCTTGACACCAACCAGGCATGAGACAGGCACTAGGGCCATGGTTTCTACTGACCTCATGTCCATTCTGCAGGCGGAACATGTTCCCCCATATGACGTGGTGCCCTCCATGCGGCCTGTGGTGTTGGTCGGACCCTCTCTGAAAGGTTATGAGGTGAGGGAAGGTCCTTGACCCCAAAGAGTCACCTCTGCCAAGCCTGCCACAGGAAGTCCCTAGGGGAAGTGGAAGGGGTCTATCTCCTCCCTCCAGGGTCTGTATGTGGAGGACGTCGACTCTGGGGCCATGCATGGGGAGGCTGCCTCTCTCCAAAAGGGCCCTTCATCAGTGCCATGCCCTCCTACCAGGTCACAGACATGATGCAGAAGGCTCTCTTTGACTTCCTCAAACACAGATTTGATGGCAGGTAAGCTGCCCTGGCCTGAGGTGGCCTGAGAACCAAGGAGAAGCTCATGGCCTACTTCCAGATGCTGTAGCAAGTCTTCTCTAAGGGAAGAGTTAGTGGGAGCTGGGTAAGGAGAGGCTGAGGCACAGGTTTAGAAGCTAGTTGGGATTCTCCACTCCCACCCCAGGATCTCCATCACTCGAGTCACAGCCGACCTCTCCCTGGCAAAGCGATCTGTGCTCAACAATCCTGGCAAGAGGACCATCATTGAGCGCTCCTCTGCCCGCTCTAGCATCGGTGAGAAGTCCCCGCCACCTGCTTCTGTGCCCACTCAACCACCAGTGAGAACCTTCTTCCTCCCTTTTCTTTCTTTCTTTCGGTTTTTTTTTTTTTTTTTTTTTGAGATGGAGTCTCACTCTGTCGCTCAGGCTGGAGTGCAGTGGTGAGATCTCGGCTCACTGCAACCTCCACCTTCTGGGTTCAAGCAATCTTCCCACCTCAGCCTCCTGAGTAGCTGGGACTACAGGTGCCCACCACCATGCCTGGCTAATTTTTGCGTTTTTAGTAGACACAGGGTTTGGCCAGGCTGATCTCAAACTCCTGACCTCAAGTGATTGGCCCACCTTGGCCTCCCAAAATGCTGAGATTGCAGGCATGAGCCACCATGCCTGGCCCCTCCTCCTCTTCTCTTCCTTGCCTCCTTGTCTTTCTGCCCAACTCCTCTACCTGCCCCCAGGATTGGCAAGAACACACCCCTCCTCCTCAATTCCCATTCCTCTCTGCCTGCCCAGGCTTCGATGAATGCCCTTTCTCTCCAATTCCTTCCTGTCCACCATTTGGGAGCCCTCAAAGTCTGCTGGAGTGAGCAGTGGGGCAGAGCTCCTGGTGAGCACTGCTGCTGCCTCCCTCCATAGCGGAAGTGCAGAGTGAGATCGAGCGCATATTTGAGCTGGCCAAATCCCTGCAGCTAGTAGTGTTGGACGCTGACACCATCAACCACCCAGCACAGCTGGCCAAGACCTCGCTGGCCCCCATCATCGTTTTTGTCAAAGTGTCCTCACCAAAGGTAAGTCAGCTGGGGTCATGGAGGAGGCCCACAGGGCTACCCTACTAGAATGTGGCACGACTCTACTTGGTCCCTGCTTGGCACCTGAGTTCCCTTTTCCTGCTGCCCTTAACACGACTCTGAGTCATCCTCACCTGCTACTGATGCCACAAGTGGAGGAAATGCCTAGCTCTACCCAGAGTCCTGAGAGACTCTAGGCCTAGCTCTGCCCTCCCCGCTTAGGTACTCCAGCGTCTCATTCGCTCCCGGGGGAAGTCACAGATGAAGCACCTGACCGTACAGATGATGGCATACGATAAGCTGGTTCAGTGTCCACCGGTGAGTGCCTGGGTCAGCTGCTCCTGTGCCCCCTCCCCAGGGCCGCGGCAGTGACAGAGATGGGTTGGGGGCTGCTGCTGAGGGGAAACCAATGTTGCACCTTCCTCCCCCTCCTCAGGAGTCATTTGATGTGATTCTGGATGAGAACCAGCTGGAGGATGCCTGTGAGCACCTGGCCGAGTACCTGGAGGTTTACTGGCGGGCTACGCACCACCCAGCCCCTGGCCCTGGACTTCTGGGTCCTCCCAGTGTCATCCCCGGACTTCAGGTAACCATTTCCAGTGGGCAGAGATGCTCAAGCTAAGCCAGCCAAAGCACTGCCTGCCCCTCCCTGCTCAGAGGACTGTCCTTGGCCTCCAGTTCAGCATGCCAAAGGATTGTAGAACTCTCAGCTCTGCTGTACAGAGCTAGTGCAGACGGGCAAAGGAGCTTCCTGAGGAGAGAGGGAATCAATCAATGAGATGGATACATCAGAGATTAGTTTCCTAGGGGTCAAAAGAAACACAATCTCCAAATCTTCTCCCAGGCTGCCTTGAAGGCCGAGCCTGAATTTTGCGGGAGTCGAAGCTCCAGTTTTCTCTCTTGGAAGAGGAAAAATGCTCCAGCATGCTTCTTCCTTGCACTGATTCCTGTACCGGGGAATTGAGAGTTGAGGGGGGAAGAATCTCGCACCTCACCAGAGGACAAGGTGAGGTCTGTACTGCCTCACTCAGAGCTGTTGTGTGGCCCCCAGAACCAGCAGCTGCTCGGGGAGCGTGGCGAGGAGCACTCCCCCCTCGAGCGGGACAGCTTGATGCCCTCCGATGAGGCCAGCGAGAGCTCCCGCCAAGCCTGGACAGGATCTTCACAGCGTAGCTCCCGCCACCTGGAGGAGGACTATGCGGATGCCTACCAGGACCTGTACCAGCCTCACCGCCAACACACCTCGGGGCTGCCTAGTGCTAACGGGCATGACCCCCAAGACCGGCTTCTAGCCCAGGACTCGGAGCACAACCACAATGACCGGAACTGGCAGCGCAACCGGCCTTGGCCCAAGGATAGCTACTGACAGCCTCCTGCTGCCCTACCCTGGCAGGCACAGGCACAGCTGGCTGGGGGGCCCACTCCAGGCAGGGTGGCGTTAGACTGGCATTAGGCTGGCATTAGGCTCAGCCCCCAAAACCCCCTGCTCAGCCCCAGCTTCAGGGCTGCCTGTGGTCCCAAGGTTCTGGGAGAAACAGGGGGCCCCCTCACCTCCTGGGCAGTGACCCCTACTAGGCTCCCATTCCAGGTACTAGCTGTGTGTTCTGTACCCCTGGCACCTTCCTCTTCTCCTACACAGGAAGCTGCCCACTGGGCAGTGCCCTCAAGCCAGGATCCCCTTAGCAGGGGCCTTCCCACCAGACTCAGGGAAGGGATGCCCCATCAAAGTGACAAAAAGGTGGGGTGTGGGCACCATGGCATGAGGAAGAAACAAGGTCCCTGAGCAGGTGCAAGTCCTGACAGTCAAGGGACTGCTTTGGCATCCGAGGGCCTCCAGTCACCTCACTGCCACATATTAGAAATGAGACAATCAAAGCCCCCCCGGGGTGGCACACCTATCCGTCTGCTGGGGTGGGGCATCCACATCCAAGACTGGAGCAGCAGGCTGGCCACACTCGGGCCAGAGAGAGCTCACAGCCGAAGCTCTTGGAGGGAAGGGCTCTCCTCACTCTGCCAGGAAGCTTCTTAACATGTGACGGGACCAGGGGCCAGGAGCATGGTGAAGCCAAGTGGCAGACGGGAGCTAACCTGGATGGGGGTTTGGGGAAGGAGGGTGTGTGTAGCAGAGAACTTATGGGGGCCTCCTTGCCTTTCTCATTCTTTTGCCCTGCATCCTGTCATTTCTGTTCTTGTCCCTCATACATCCTGGGAGAACCGGGCTCCAGACTTTGTTCCCTGACTCATAGCTGCCGCTTGTTAGGTTAGGGTTAGATGGGGAGAGACAGGGCACAGAGGACCTGTCTCCCTGGCTACTCTCGCCTTATGGCTCTAGTGTGTGACCTACAGAGCATGCTCCACAAGCCCCTGCCTCACCTCACTGTCATCACTAATAAACATCATACACAGTCCCTCAGGCTTCTGTTCTGTCTGTGACGCGGCCCAAGTCTGATGGAGGGGAAGATGTGTTCGGGCCGCCCTTCTCTCAGAGAATCTGTCCGGCGGGAAGGGGACAAAGGCAGAGCTGGGGAGGCACTCCACTCCCAGGCATCCCCACTCCTCATGCCCAGGTGTCAAGAGGGAGACATCCAGCAGCATGAAAGGAGCTTGTCCTGGGATGTGGGGAAGAAGACACTTGGTCACGGCTTTACACTATCCGTGTGCCAGGCCAAAAAGGCCCTAGAAGCAGCTACAACTTGAACTCCGTGTACTAGGCCAACTCTTTCTGTGGGGTAAGAAGAGCATGTGAACAAGAGGGGTATGGGGGGAGGCCCTGCGTTCCTATCACCACAGCCTGATACAGCTGAGTCCACCCGTCCTGCACCATCCCCTCCCAGGAGCAATGGGTCCAACTAGGGAGCCGCAAGCAAAGATGCTGAGACCAGGCCTTGGGCACACAGTGGCAGACTGGTTCCAACTGCCTCACCTGCCAAAATTTCACAACTGCTTTCCTTTCTCACCTTGGCCTAAAGCTTCCTAGCGGGTGTCCAGGCCAGGGCCACACATTCCGCCAGGCTACAACAGGGGCGGAAGATGCATTACAGTTCTGCATGGCTTCTGCATCTCCCCTCAAGTCCGCCTATGCACTCAAGATCATCAGCAGAGACCCTCTGCTCTGCTCTTAATGTGACTGTCTCTCATTTTCCAAGCCAACCCATCCCGCACCCAGTGGTGTCCCCCCTGCCAGGGAGAAGCTGGGAAATAAGCTAGAACTAGACACAGCCTTAGTATTCACGTATTTATTCTCAGAACATACAAACTTATCTTCTCAGAGAATAGAAAACAGAGATTTCACTCAGTGACAAAGATGGACACAGCCAGTTCACCCTGTCCCCCCATCTACTCAGAAAATCCCCTGGGGGAGGGGATGCCTAGAGCACACAGCACCCCTTGGTGCGGGACTGTGCACAGGTCTAAAGGCGCTCGACTTTCTTTACCATCCAAACAGGAAAACAGCTGTCCAGATGACAGTAAGATTCCACTGTCTGTAATCCTCATGGTGCCAGGTCCCCTGGGGCATCTAGGGCAACGATGCTGCTGCAGTTTATACAGTTACACAGTCAAGTCTGTGCCAAAGGAGGTCCCATCAGGCAGCCAGGTTTCTGTTCAGTCTGGGGAGCAATGCCAACTGGCTGCCCCCATAGCCTGGCATGAGCTGATGGCCCAGTGCAATCCCAAAGCAAAGAAGGGCAGAGCTGAGCCAAAAAGCTGTGGTAATTTCCTCTCCCTGCCTCTGACAGCATCGTCCTCTCCTTTTGCAGCCCCACACGCAGGCCTCCCGACCTGAGGGTCTGGGCTAGGGAGTCTGACTGTTTTCCTAAGCCCCCGTAACCCAGGAGTGAGGACCTGGAAAGAGGGATGTGAGGTTTCTGAAGAACAGGCATCAGGCAGCTTCGGAGATGCCCTCAGACCACAGGAAGAGTGCTGTGTCAGGCAAAGATGGTCTCTTCCCGGCGCTTCTTGGTAAGGATGGTGCCTGGCTTATGCTGGGCATCTGGGTGGTTGGCTAGTTCGGGGGGACAGGAAGACACTGGGCTTTCCAGGATGGCTTGCTTCAGCTCGTAGAACACAGCAGAGTCCTCTTTTGTGAGGAAGGTGATGGCCACCCCACTCTTGCCTGCTCGTCCCGTGCGGCCAATGCGGTGGATGTAATCTGGGGAATGGGAAGAATGTCACTCAGCACAGCCCAGATGCCCGGGGGAGCCGTGTCTGATGCCTCCACTTCTAGAGGCATCCTTCCCACTCCATCTCCAAAGGCGGGAATACAGCACGTCCTGCCTGAACCTGAGGTGCCCACAGTGCCCTCTCCAGGTGCCCATCTCCCCTGTCCTCCTACTGACTGTAGTCCCCACCACACTAAGACCCACAGCTGCCTAGCTTCATTCTTCACACTCTTGAGGACACAAGTGTCATCCCAGGTGCTGGGACAACAAACCCAGGTAAGATAAAAGACAGGAGCACTTCTCATGGGAGCAAACAATCCCAGACTTGGAGCTGAGGAAGGCAGTAACAGCCCCCCATGGACAGCACCCTGACTTTGAGTGGGACACCATAAGGAATCTGACTTCACCCTGGATTGAAGCTGCTTTCCCTGGAACTTACCTTCAATATTTTTGGCCATATCATAGTTGACAACCATAGACACATCTTGGATATCAATACCACGACCAGCTACATCTGTAGCCACCAAAATATCCTTGGCCCCAGCCTTGAGGTTGGACAATGCAAACTCTCGCTGCTCCTGGCCTTTTCCACCATGCAGTGTGCAAGCATTGTACTGTTGGAAGAATGGTAGAGTGAGCAATGCGATCAAGGAGAGACACAGGAGTTCAGAGGAATGGGACAGACACAGAGGAGGGTTAGAGAGGGCAGCAGGGTAGGAGAAAGGGAAGGAGGCAAGAGAAAGAATGACTGCAGTGAAAGGAAGGAGAGAACAAGTGAGCTGAAGAGATGGACGAGAGAAAAAGGTGTGGTGTGGCAGGGACACACAGAGTAAGGTCAAAGGCAAAGCAGCTGGGAGAGCTGTGGAGCCAGACAGATGAGAAGTCCTCAGAGAATTAGGGGCAAGATCAGGGTAGAAAGCAGGGATCAAGAAGTTTAAGGAAGTTGAAGAGCTGAGTGGCAGGGACACACCCTTCCCCTCAAGCACCAGTAACAGGAGTAAAGGACACTGATTATCAGCTCCCTTCTGACCCCATCACCTCCTCTCCTCAACATATCTAAGCACAGTTTTCACCTACTCTTTTCTAGATCCTCAGACTCTGCCAGGATATGGGTCTCAAACCTTTCCCTGGCTCCACCTCACCAGGATGAAGACCTAAGACAGCTTTGGCTGGCATTACTGCAGCAGACAGGGAGTCCCGGCAGTTGACTCCATTCTTTTTATTCCCTCAAACCACCCTTTACCCTGGTCCTGACTTGTTGACTGCTGGACAGGTTAAAGAAAGGGTGAGAATCGAAAGGAAGAGCCTAGGGGGCCTTGCTAGATTCAGAAAGCAGTGCTACAGAGGCCAGATTTTGTTCTCCCCTGCCAGACATACCCCCATCTTCTCCAGAGATTTGGCCAATACGTCACAGCCCTTCTTCTGGTTGACAAAAATAATGATGGGTGGGTCAAAGCCTTGCTCCAAGATTGCCAGCAGCTTTTTCCTGGAGGGAAGAGGAAAAAGACGACATGCATAATACCTCCCGCTCCAAGTGAAATGCCCAACCCTGATCTGTGAACACTACTTTCAGGGTCTTCAATGCCCATGACATTCTGCCCAAGAAAACAGCAGCTCAACACAGCAAAGCAATTGCCCTGCCCTGCACTTGCACTGAAAAAAGTTCTGAGAGCCATTTCATTCTCCACCCTGTTTCCCCTGGCTCAGGTGCCCTCGTACCTCTTTTCTGACTCTGACATGAGGAAGACCTTCTGTTCCACACGCTCATGGGGCTTGCCTGCAGAGCCAATGTACACCACAGCAGGTCGCCGAAGATAGCTCCTGGCCAGACGCTCCACCGCTGGGGGCATGGTGGCCGTGAACATGACTGTCTACGAAAACAAGAGGCTCAGCCCTGCACCCAGGCAGGCATAATTACATATCCCACTGTCACCAACCCAGCCCAGACTAAAGAATCTAAAATGTGCCGCAGTATAGGCTTTCATAGCCACCACCTTAGAAAATAGTGTCCTCTGAATTCCCATCCTTCCCCAGTACCCGTTCATCAAGGCACTTTCCATCTTATGATGACAGGAAGGCCTGAGAGCATTTGCTAGCACCTGTGGTCCCGGTAGCAGCATAAGTCTTTGGAATCGTTTTTCCAGGGCTAAGCTAAACGGCTCCACCCTTAGGACTGTCAGAGGACCGTACCTAGGCACACTTCATTCTAGAAACATGTACTCTGAGCCCACCTAAGGCAAGAAAGGCCCAATAGGAGGTTGGCAAACTTGTACAACTTTTCCTTTTTTTTTTTTTTTTTTTTGAGACAGGGCCTCACTCTGTTGCCCAGGTTGGAGTGGAATAGTGACACAACCTCAGCTCACTGCAACCTCGGCCTCCCAGGCTTAAGAGGTCCTCCCACCTCAGCCTCCGGAGTGGCTGGGACCACAGGTGCGCCCCACCATGCCCAGCTAATTTTTGTAATTTTTGTAGAGATGGAGTTTCGCCATGTTGCCCAGGCTGTCTCAAACTCCTGAGCTCAAGTGATCCACCCACCTTGGCCTGTCCCACTTTTCCCAGCCCAGGGAAGCAGCCTTACTTGGCGGTACTTATGTTTTCCCGACTCAAAGTTGGCCAGCATCTTCTCAGGGTCCTCAGCCTCATCCGTGTCTGGCTTCTGGTTGCTGACAGGCATGTGCTCCAGGATCTTCTGGACATCTGGCTCAAAGCCCATGTCAATCATCCTATCTGCCTCATCCAGAACCACATAGGTACAGCGGCTCAGCACCAGGTAGCGGTTCTCCAGCACATCAATCAAACGCCCAGGGGTAGCGATCACAATCTGAGTAGTACAGTATAATCACTTACAGCCCAGCAGGTGCCCCTTCTTTTCTTTCCTATGAACTATCCACCCACTTGGGTGACAGACCTCCAATGCTGAGGCACTTGGACCCCAACCTCTGGTTATGTTTAGCAGTAAAGGCTCCTGCAAACCAGCATGAAATCACTTGTTGCCTGGATTGTCTCAGGAACGAATGAGGTCTCTGAGTAAGATGCAGGGATTAGACAGAGGAGGCAAAATCAGTAGAAACTTTTTTTTTTTTTTTTTTTGGCAAATCATTTCAGATCCTGAAGAAGGAACTTTCTTAGATGGGAGAGACTAAGGGATACCATGAAGGGGGTTGTATAAAGACTGAATTTTAAAAAAAAAATGTAAAAACTCTAAATTTCTACAGCAGATTTCTCATAAAAAGCTCTCCTCCACTTTC